GGGTATGCAGTGTGCCTGGACAGTGCGCACCCAGACAAGAGGCATATGTGTACCCACACAGTGCAGGTATACTGGTGTGGCTCCAGACAATGTGTATGTATACAGTGTGCCCAGATATATACAGTAACTCAGACAGTGTGTATACAGTGTACTTCAGACAGTGCAGGTATACAGGTAACAGAGACAGTGCAGGTATACAGTGTACTAGACACAGGCAGGTATGCTGGTGTACCCAGACAGTATGGGTGTACCAGACAGTGCAGGGTATACAGTACCCAGACAGTGCAGGCATACAGTGTACCTAGACAGTGCAGGTATACAGAAACAGAGTCAGTGCAGATATACTTGTGTGTACCTAGACAGTGCAGGTATACAGTGCACCCAGACAGTGCAGGCATACAGTGTACCCAGACAGTGCAGGTATACTGTGCACCCAGAGTGCAGGTATTAGCCAGTGTACCCAGACAGTGCAGGCATACAGTGTACACAGACAGTGTATGTATACAGTGTACCAGACAGTGCAGATATATTGTGTACTAGACAGAAAGTAGGTATACAGTGTACTAGATTGCAGGTATACAGTGTACCTAGACAGTGTAGGTATACAGTGTGACGCAGACAGTGTAGATATATGTACCCAGACAGTGCAGGTATACAGTGTACCTAGACAGTGTACAGTGTACCCCAGACAGTGCAGGTATACAGTGTACCCATTGTGCAGACATATTGTGTACCCAGACAGTGCAGGTATACTGTGTACCAGACAGTGCAGGTATACAGTGTACCAGACAGTGCAGGTATACAGTGTACTCCAGACAGTGCAGGCATACAGGCGTACCCAGACAGCGTGAGATATACTGTGTGGCCTATATTGCGCAGGCATACAGTGCACCCACAGGTGCAGGCATACCAGTGTACCTGTGATTAATGCAGGTATAAGGCAACCAGACAGTGCAGATATACTGTGCACAGACAGTGCAGGTATGGTTGGTGCACAGTGCAGGTATACAGTGTACTAGACAGTGCAGGTATACAGTGTACCCAGATAGTGCAGATATACTGTGTACCCAGACAGTGCAGGTATACAGGCCTAGACAGTGCAGGGGTATACAGTGTACCCAGACAGTGCAGGTATATGCAATACCCAGGATAAGTGCAGTGATACATATTGTGTACCTAGGACAGTGCAGGCATACAGTACCCAGACAGTGCAGGTATACAGTGTGACTCCAGGACAGTGCAGATATACTCAGGTACCCAGACAGTGCAGATATACTCTGTGTGTACTCTAGACAGTGCAGGCATATTATGTACCCAGACAGTGCAGATATACTGTTGTGTTTAGACAGTAGGTATACAGTACCAGATATGCAGGTATAAGCAGTGTACCCAGACAATGCAGGTATACAGTGGGTAACAGGACAGTGCAGGTATAGCCTGTGTACCTAGACAGTGCAGGTATACAGTAAATTTCTAGACAGTGCAGGTATACAGTGTACTAGACAGGTAGGGTATACAGTGTACCCAGACAGGTATACACAGCCTGAGATTGTGCAGGACATGGCCTGTGTACCCAGACAGGTGCAGGTATACAGTAACAGATTGTGCAGGTAAGAAACTTAGACAGTGCAGGTATATACCCAGACAGTGCAGGTATACAGTGTACCCAGACAGTGGGTGTACCCAGACAGTGCAGATATACTGTGCACCCAGGACAGTGCAGGCATACAGTGCACCCAGACAGTGCAGGTACAGTACCCAGACAGTGCAGGCATACTGTACTCCAGACAGGCATACATACCCAGACAGTGCAGGTATACAGTGTACTCAGATTATGCAGGCATACAGTACCTAGACAGTGCAGGCATACAGTACCTAGACAGTGTAGTGCATACTGTGTGTACCTGTATCACAGCAGGCATACAGTGTACCCAGACAGGCAGGTATACAGTGTAACGAGACAGTGCAGGCATACAGTGTACCCAGACAGCAGGTACAGTGTACCCAGACAGCAGCAGGCATACAGTGCACCCAGACAGTGCAGGCTGGTGCACCCAGACAGTGCAGGCATACAGTGTACCCAGACAGTGCAGGCATACAGTGCGCCCAGACAGTGCAGGCATACAGTGCACCCAGACAGTGCAGGCATACCGTGCACCCAGACAGTGCAGGCATAACAGTGTACCAGACAGTGCAGATATACTGTGTACCTAGACAATGGTACAGGTGTACCCAGACAGTATATAGTGTGTACCTACAGACAGTGTGTGGGTATGGCCAGTGTACTAGACAGGTATACAGTGCACTCCAGAGACAGTGCAGGCAGTGTACCCAGACAGTGCATATATACAGCGTGTTTTAGGACATGCAGGTATACTGTAACAGACAGTGCAGGTATACTGTGTAAATTCCAGACAGTGCAGATATACTGTGTACCCAGACGCAGGTATACAGTGTACCCAGACAGTGCAGGTATACAGTGTACCCAGACAGTGCAGGTATACAGTGTACCCAGACAGTGCAGGCATACAGTGTACTAGACAGTGCAGGTATACAGTGTACCCAGACAGCAGGCAACAGTGTAAAATTTAGACAGTAGACACGTGTACTTCCAGGATGCGCAGGTATACAGTGTATCAGACAGCAGATATAGTGTACCTATATAAGTAGGTATACAGTGTACCTAGACAGTGCAGATATAGTGTGTACCTATACAGTGCAGGTATACAGTGTACCTAGACAGTGCAGATATAGTGTGTACCTAGACAGTGCAGGTATACAGTGGACAAATCAAAACAAACAACTGTATACTGCCGACATCTTTCTTTCTTCTACACAACAGGACAAATAACGACTCTGGTTGACAGTCTAATCTTCTCCTTCTGTCCTGTGTCTTAATTAACATTGTGTTGGTGTAACTTCCGCTGGTGTCCTCCTCACTGTGGGTCGAGTGGCAGGACCCGAGCTTAAGAAAGTAGTTTATCTTACATTTAGTGGCGAGATAGAGGTGGTCCAGACATCTTGAAAATCTTGATATGTGTTTATCGATTATTTTTGGTCCCGGTTTTTATTCCTTGTCCTTCATTATTTGACTCTTTTCCCTCCTCTTCATATTACTACCCTCACACGTTCCCTCTTTCTTTTCCCCTTCTATCTCCTCTTTTTTCTTTTACCCTTCTGGTTTTTCCCTATTCTTCTTGCTTTATGCTGTTTCTTTTCCTTTTCTCTTTAATGGGGAGATTGTGAGAAAGAGAGAGTTAGAAAGGTCATGGTAGGCCTTACTAGCCTGAGCTAACCTAACATATCATAACACATTCTATCCTACTCTAACATAACCTAACATATCCTAACATATTCTATCCTACTCTAACTTAACATAACATATCCTAACATATTCTATCCTACTCTAACTTAACATAACATATCCTAACATATTCTATCCTACTCTAACATAACCTAACATATCCTAACATATTCTATCCTACTCTAACATAACATAACATATCCTAACATATTCTATCCTACTCTAACATAACCTAACATATCCTAACATATTCTATCCTACTCTAACATAACCTAACATATCCTAACATATTCTATCCTACTCTAACTTAACATAACATATCCTAACATATTCTATCCTACTCTAACTTAACATAACATATCCTAACACATTCAATCCTACTCTAACTTAACATAACATATCTTAACACATTCTATCCTACTCTAACTTAACATAACATATCCTAACACATTCTATCCTACTCTAATATAACATAACATATCCTAACACATTCTATCCTACTCTAACATAACATAACATATCTTAACACATTTTATCCTAACTTAACCTGCCTAATCTAATTTAGCTTAATTTGATCTATTTTAGTTGAAACTGACCAATTTTAACCTACCCTGACCTAGTTTAACTGATGATGACCTAGTCTCGCTGAACTTGACCCACTTTCACTGAGACTGATCTAGATTGGCTGAAATTGACTTAGTTTCGCTGAACGTGAACTAGATATCGCTGAGACTGACTTAGTTTTGCTGAGGTTGACCTTGTTTAGCTGAGGTTGACCTAGTTTCGCTGGGATTGACCTAGTTTGGCTGAGACTGACCTATTTTAATGCAAGTTAACCTAGTTTAGCTGGACCAGGCCTACTTGACTTTATTATGACTTAATTTACCCCACAGTCC